CGTTAACACCGCACCAGACAAACAAGGAAAGATTTAAACGAAAATGCCAGCTTTTCGCATATCAAGCTGGAATGTTAGAACCATGCGCACAGGGCTCTCAGACAGCCTTGACCACATTGATCACTCTCGCAAGACCGCCATCATCGACCATGAGCTCGACTGACTCAATGTCGACATTGCTGCTCTCCAAGAGACACGGCTTGCTGACTGTGGTTCCCTTAAGGAGAAAAAATACACTTTCGTCTGGCATGGCAAGAGCGCAGAAGAGACCCGAAAACATGGCGTTGGATTTGCAGTGAAAAACACCCTGATTGCCACAACTGTACCACCGACAGGAGGCTCCGAACGCATCCTTGCCATCCGTTTATCCACCAGCAATGGACCAGCCAATCTGCTGAGCGTTTACGCCCCAACCCTCTGCTCTCTCCCTGAGTCACACAGGTTCAACGAGGAGCTTGACACGGCCATCAGCACCATCCCAAAGAACTGGTCATCAAAAAATAAAACTACCAAATCATTTTGAAATACCTTGCTGGACTGTTAGTGAATGACAGTGTAAAGCATCCTGTAAAATCATGGCACCTGGTATACTGTCATTTTCAAGAAAAGTGGTATTTTTGTATCAATTTCCAACGCTGATCGGCCGATCAGCGTTGGAAACAACTGGCTTTTTTTCAAATACTGGCCCCAATTGACCATCGCACTTGTTTGCAATCGATTACAAACCTATGAACGGGTACGAACCAGCTAGACTGGTTCCCTGAACTTACAATTCCCCAATGTATGTAAACTGCTCTGTTTCTTCTTATATGGAGTCAGGGAACCAGACTACAGGAAAATGATCGTTTTTCTTGGTTTTTATAGCATTTTCGAACCCAAAACCTCAAAAAAGTCAGTGTAACTATATTTGCTATATATTTCCAACCCCCCAATTCCATCCATTTCTGAAAATTACAGCAAAAGCAAATGATGTATATTCCCTTTAAGTCTTATTACTGGGTTCATGTAAAAATTCAGCTCACACAGAATAGTGTGATGGTTTCCTTGCTTCACAAAGTTGTTGCAAAGTGGCATTTTTTGCAGTTTTAAAATATGAGAAACTTCTTTTGCGATTATCTCGAAAACACTTTTTCTTCAAAATCGACATATGTGGCTCTTCGTGAAAACGGTGACGATTTCTCCAGCATGTCATTTATCTCTTTCTCGGCCACTTCCCGCTGATGAAGGGGCAATCTCCTCGGCTGCTGCTTAACAGTCGATGAACTTCCGGTTTCAATACGGTGATGAACCTTACTGATTTTACCAATTTCCCCTTCCCTTCTCGAGAACAGCGCCTGGATCTTGAGTCTTGAGCAGAATTTTCTTTAACTGGAGCTCTTCTGTGTCGTTCATTTGCATTGCACTTCTCTGATAAAGTTCATCCAAATGTGAGGGAACTGGTCTATGTTCGTCTGCGTGATCTCTATCACCGTCACATGAATTTACGTTATTGATTTGCTCTGAATGCACTTGGTAATCTGCACCAAGATTTGGCCTTACTGCGTCTACTGTTTGGAATGTACCTGGCGTCGTTCCTTTGTAGATGGTCACATGAGTTTCTGTAGGGTTCATAAGGCTTTCTGGCACTGTTGCCTCCTTGGTACTGACCAGTGAGGGCGCCAACAGGACATTATTTCGCTTTACGAGGCTGAGAGCTGGCTCAATCACCCCATACGGCACTTCTCTCTCATCTTCGCTGAGTTTTCCCGCAACTACCATTTCTGTCTGGGCTGGCACAACCAACGTCTCACTAACAGTCACTCGACAACTCCGGTGTCGATCAGAAGTGTCCCTAAAAGGTAACTCTATCACTCTCCACTGCAGAGTATTACTGGTAATATCGATCGAGCAGTTCTCAGATCGTAGGAAATCCAAACCAAGGAGCATCATTCAATCATTACTTATGTCAGCGATAATGAATTTGTGAGACACTAGGTGACCACCCAACTCAAGCTCCACTGTAGCTTCTCCCGAGACTGCCAAGCTCGTGTCATTTGCAACATTCACTTCAACGTCAGTACTGGTTATGCTGCATTGTCTTTTCTCTGACCATTTCTTGACGACTCTCTCGGATATAATTGACACGGATGCCACTGTGTCAAGTAGAAGTACTGCATCGACTCCATTCACACATGCATCAAGGTACAATCCTCTACCGACGGCATTTACATTCCCTATTTGTAGATCACTATTGGGCCATGTTTTATACAGCTGGCTCAGCTCCTAACAGTTTCCCTGATTATCGATGGGTTGGGACTTCTGGACGTTCATGGACGCTGGTGTACTGCCATCACTTGTTGTCAGCAAAGGGCAGTTTCGCTTGATATGGCCATACTCCTCGCAATGATAGAAGCGGGGCCCCTTGCCGTCTGTCCTCCGGCCTCCACTTTGCTTCTGTCTGTTGAGTTGTTTCTTAAGCTCCCCTATTTGCTCCGAAACGTGCTGTCTGCTGTTGCAAACCTGCTGACTCGCTGGCACTGATGACCTAAATTCTTTCTTCTGTGGTGGCATGCCTCACGTTGTTTTCTTCCAGTCCATCGTCCTTCGCTCTTTTTCGGCCTTTTGAAGGGCTTCAAACTCAACTGCTGCTGCTACAGCTCCGTCAAGTGTGGTGGTTCTCATCTGAATAACTTTATTCTGATGTCGCCGTCAGCCAAAGCATCTAAGAAGTGGTCTCTCTCCATACGATCTTTACTTTTAGCAAGTAGGTCCACATACACTTTCTCCACGAGATTTTCTGCAGGTTTCTGCCTTCTATTTCGGAGTTGAGCCCGGTAAAGTTCCTGCCTCCCCATTGGGTCAAAGCGTATACCTGCAAGGCTTTGACTAACTTCTGGGTAAAGATAGTACCTTTGCTGTCTGTCAGCTGCACTCTCTTGGCATAGTGGACAGGCATCACAGGTTCTCATTGACTAACTTCTGGGTAAAGATAGTACCTTTGCTGTCTGTCAGCTGCACTCTCTTGGCATAGTGGACAGGCATCACAGGTTCTCATTCAGCTCCTAAATCTCTCACGTGCTGGCTCCAAGTGCCACACCCCGGTAAACCGCTTCAGCTAGCGGGCGAAACCACGTGAGAGGGTGGTATCTACACTGCACCACTGGGCGGATGAGCTACATCAAACAGCCAACGGCCAGGGCGGAGGGGGTCAATGTCTGACCCAACGGCCACGTGTAAAGGAGTAAACCTTCCAAATCAGGAGTGGAGCCCCGAAGGCGGACCGGTGACTTGCAAACACCGTTTCGGCAGCTCCTGCAGCCAAGCTGGTGCCAAACGTCATGCTCGCATTCCTTTGGATTCCATCAGCAAGGCCGAGAGGGGAATTCTGCGCCTGGGCAACCCAGGATCTCCATACTTCATGCCCAGGCTTGCGCCCTTGAGAGGCCACTCCAGCCTCATCTAGAGTGTGGAAACAACACGAAGCTGGCAGTTACGGGTTATAGTCCCATCCAATTGGCGTAGGAAACGGGACGCCACGGGCCAGCTTCGACGGTGGAGAAAACCATCGCGTTCCATTGGTCGGCTACCGCCCGCCTCAAGCCGGGCAGCCTCCGGCCAGTAAGGTGTCGACCTGCCAACGTCCGTCTGCCTCATTGGGTGCTTGGAACTTAGTGTAAAGCACAACAAGCGGACGTTAACACCGCACCAGACAAACAAGGAAAGATTTAAACGAAAATGCCAGCTTTTCGCATATCAAGCTGGAATGTTAGAACCATGCGCACAGGGCTCTCAGACAGCCTTGACCACATTGATCACTCTCGCAAGACCGCCATCATCGACCATGAGCTCGACTGACTCAATGTCGACATTGCTGCTCTCCAAGAGACACGGCTTGCTGACTGTGGTTCCCTTAAGGAGAAAAAATACACTTTCGTCTGGCATGGCAAGAGCGCAGAAGAGACCCGAAAACATGGCGTTGGATTTGCAGTGAAAAACACCCTGATTGCCACAACTGTACCACCGACAGGAGGCTCCGAACGCATCCTTGCCATCCGTTTATCCACCAGCAATGGACCAGCCAATCTGCTGAGCGTTTACGCCCCAACCCTCTGCTCTCTCCCTGAGTCACACAGGTTCAACGAGGAGCTTGACACGGCCATCAGCACCATCCCAAAGAACTGGTCAGACTGCCTTGGACACTTCGGAGTGGGGAGTATGAACGAGAAAGGGCAGAGACTGCTAGAGTTGTGCTGCTATCATCAGCCCTGCATCACCAACACCTTTTTCCAGACTAAGCCATCGCACAGGGTCTCCTGGAGACACCCAAGATCCAAACGCTGGCACCAGCTCGACCTCATCATCACGAGACGAGAGAGCACTCAACTTTGTCCACTTCACCCGCACTTTTCATAGCGAGGACTGCGACACGGACCACTCCCTCGTCCTCAGTAAGGTCAAGCTACAGCCCAGGCAGATCCACCATGCAAAACAGAAGGCACGTCCCAGCATCAACGCCAACTGCTCCATAAATCCAACTGTCACTCAGCTCTTCCTCACCTCACTTAATCAAGCACTCTCCTCCTCCAATCAGCAAAGTGCTTTGAACAAGTGGAATTGCCTGCGTGACACCGTTTATGACCAAGCCCTCGCAGCATATGGCAAGAAAGTGAGGAAAAATGCAGACTGGTTTGAGGCCAATGCAGCGGAGATGGAGCCAGTTATCGAGGCCAAGCGCACTGCCTTCCTCAAGTACAAAGTAATCCATTGACGAGGAACCTTGAGGCTCTTAGAAAAGCCAGGGGCAAGGCCCAGCAAACAGCACGACGCTGCGCAAACAACTACTGGCTCAAACTCTCCTCCAGCATATAGGCCGCCTCCAACACAGGTGACATCAGGGGCATGTACGAGGGCAACAAGAAAGCCACAGGTCCCTCCATAAAAAAACAGCGCCTCTCCAATCCAAGTCCGGTGAAGTCATCACCGACAGCAGCAAACAGATGGAAAGGTGGGCTCAGCACTACATGGAGTTATATGCCACGGAAAACACATTGTCAGAGGAGGCTCTGAATGGCATCGTAAGCCTTCCTGTGATGGAGGTGCTTGACAAGGACCCTACACAAGAGGAGCTCAGCAAAGCCATTGACAGACTCGCTTGCGGCAAGGCCCAAGGTGCTGATGGGATAACACCTGACATCATCCAACTTGGGAAACCAACCCTTTTGCCATATCTTCACGACCTCCTCTGCCTTTGCTGGAATAAAGGAGCCGTCTCCCAGGACATGTGTGACGCCAAAATCGTCACGCTGTACAAGAACAAGGGTGACCGCAGCGACTGTTATAACTACCGCGGCATCTCTCTGCTCAACACTGTGGGGAAGGTCTTAGGAAGCGTTGCCCTTATCAGGCTCCAGCTTCTGGCGGAGCACGTCTACCCTGAGTCACAGTGTGGCTTCAGGGCAGCAAGATCCACGGTGGACATGATCTTCACCCTTTGACAACTGCAGGAGAAATGCCGTGAACAGAGGAGACCCCTGTATCTCGCTTTTGTCGACCACACAAAGGCCTTCTACCTTGATACCAGAGATGGTTTCTTCAAGCTGCCTGCAAAGATCGGTTGCCCTCCAAAACTTCTCAGCATCGTGCCATCATTTCACAAGAACATGAAGGGCTCAGTCTGTTGTGATGGGGGAAACTTCAGAGGCCTTCCCAATCCGCAGCGGAGTGAAGCAGGTCTGTGTTCTTGCACCGACCCTCTTCGGAATTTTCTTCTCTCTCCTGCTGTCGTTTGCATTTGGCTAAACCCCTGAAGGCGTCTACCTACACTCAAGAGCTGATGTCAAACTATTCAACCTTGTCCGCCTGAGGTCCAAGACGAAAGTGACCAGTGTACTCCTGAGGGAAATGCTTTTTGCAGATGATGCAGCTCTAGCATCCCACACAGAGACAGGGCTACAGCAGTTGGTGAACAGTCTCTCTTATGCATGCAAGGAGTTCGCCCTCGACATCAGCACTAAGAAGACCCATGTCATGGGCCAAGAAGTCGAAACCCCATCCTTCATCTCTATTGACAACAAGACTCTAGACTGTGTGGGCACCTTCATGTACCTCGGATCAACAGTCTCCAGAAACCTGTCGCTTGATGAAGAACTGAGCACCCGTCTTGCTAGGGCCGCCGCAGTGATGGCCAGGCTGGCAAAGAGAGTGTGGTCTAACAAGAACCCAACTGTGTGCACAAAACTCCAGGTCTACCAAGCATGTGTCATCAGCACTCCGCTATACAGCAGTGAGGCCTGGACCACCTACACCAGACAAGAAAAACGGCTGAACAGCTTCCACCTGCGCTGCCTTCGCCGCATCCTTGGTATCACATGGCTGGAACGTGCCCACACCACCAGCATGTTCGCCATGTTGAGCCAGCGACGCCTCAGATGGCTCGGTCACGTTCACCGGATGGACTCCAGTCGTCTTCCAAGGGCCATCCTGTATGGCGAGCTTTCTTCAGGATCCAGGCCAATTGGTCGTCCGAACCTACGCCTCAAGGACGTCTTTAAACGCGACATGAGGCAGGCTGGCATAGACCCCAACAGCTGGGAGGAAGCTGCCAAGGATCGCAGTACTTGGAGGCAGACAGTTGCCGCAGGGGTCCAACGCGCTGAGGAGAGGCGCACCTCCTTGCTGCAGGAGAAGAGGCAGAGAAGGAAATTGCGAGTAGCAGCCCCAACCCCTGTGTCAGCCCCCTCTCCCTTCGTCTGCGCTAACTGCGGCAGCAAGTGTCATGTAGAATTGGACTGCTCAGCCACAGCCGCCGCTACAACAAAGACGACAACCCCCTTAGCGAAGTCCATCGTCAGTATTGACGGACGGATGCCTACTTAATACCTGTTGTGCTGAGCCAGTCAACAACACAGCCAAAACTGTATCTTGTCCTTTTCATCCCATCCATTGAGCTCTGAGCACTACTCAAAGTGTTTCAGGTAGGATGGCCATGATGTCTTTCCATCATATCGGTCGGGTTTATCAAAGGTCTGTTCCTCTCGGGCCTCTTGTCAATGATCTCAGCTTTGACCGACGTCTCGTTCTTCTTCGGCAGTGTTGGCGTATCTTGAGTGAGTTCTGGGTCAATTTTAGCCTTGTCATCATAACTTCCAGGCTCCGGTGGGGAAACATCACTTCTTTCCTTGGCGGACCTCGCTGGTGCAGACGAAATTGCACTGGCTTTGGCTGGCTCTGAATTTGTCTGCTCATGTCCAATCCCGTCAGGCAGAATGTTTGACAAGTTAATATCGCTTACTTCTGGTGTGGAATTCTCTTTTCTCCGGACGCTGGAAACATGACCCAATTGCTACTGATCCGTCCATACGTGTCGATGAACCGTCAGATGGCTGGAGTGTGACCTTGTATCTCCGTAACCCATGCACCGAATCTGGTATGGTTATGAATTGGTCTACTGGCTCTGGCGTTGTCTTTGGACATTCTTCTTCCTTCTTTACAGTAGAAGGGGACAAAAGGCTTGTGTTCTCCAGTCTTTCTGTCCATTCTGTTTGTCCATCAGCTGTATTTTTAGGGACGATGTCCCCATCAATGCTTGCATATCGACCGTGCTCAGTTGCCGAACATTCATTGATTCTGTCCCACTGGAATCAATCTGGCGTGGGGCATTACCTGTCTCATGACGCTCATCAGACTCACTGGTAGACTCCGCTAGCTTTGTTCTACTGCCCCTAGGTGCCGTTTTTCGCAAACTACTGGTGCGTTCCAGTATGCTCTTTGAGATTGTGTCAATCTCCCTGCTTACTTCCTGGTACCTTTCCTCCAGAAAGCGATGCAACGCCCCTTGGTCTGACTGCAGGACGCCATCCTACCATAGGGCCCTGTCACACTTCTGCGTATCCTAATTCCTTATGAGTTGCGCATTGACATTTTTTTCATACTCAGTCGTACGCACAATACGCACCTCATATGCATCTTTACTATACCTCATACATATTCATGATCGAGAGCCGAACGTTCACTGGTCAATTCACCATCACGTGCCAGATGTTATTCTTGCTGTTTACCAAACGCGCGCGCGAGGATTCAGGCACATTGTAAATACGCATGCGTAGTAGACTGTCGCATGGGTTACCCGTGCGACAGTCTACTACGCATGCGCTTTACAGAGCAATCGAGGAACTGTCGCACGGGTGCAGTACGCACGCGCGAACATCGCACAGGAGAGATGCATGGTTGCACGGTTCGCGTAAATGTTAATTTACAGAGCTCAATGATGCCGTACTGGAGAAAATGTATAGACCGTGTAAAGATGTCTCCTGTACAAAAGAAAGTTGTACACATTGCAAACAACTGTATTTACAACTTTTGTTTTAGGTGCATAATAATAAAACAAAATTCGGCAACTGAATATATATGAGGTATAGTAAAACAAATATAACATGGTTAGAGGGTGGACAGTCGATATTAGCTCCCCTCGGTATTGGAAGTTGACAAACTAGTTCCCTCGGCTTCGCCTCGGGAACTAGTTTGTCAACTTCCAATACCTCGGGGAGCGAATATCAACTGTCCACCCTCTAACCATGTTATATTTGTATACTATCGTTTTGTGTAAGTTTTATGTACGCAGGCATACGCATGGTACGGCCCAGTACGCTGGATAGTTTTGGGCATGCACAAAACTACGCTGCGTACGCAGTTACGCATGTCATAAGTTATAAATACGCAGCGCATCGGTCCCGCATCGGTCGAGCACGGTACGAGTACGCTATGTGTTCGTGGGGGATAAGCGGTTCATACGCAGTAATACGCTGACCTCCCGGCACACACCCCGTCAGCATGATGAGCCGCCTATATCCGGTTCGTTAGTGTGACGTCACCTCCAGCACTTTCTGCACGATTGGAACCGGAAGTTAACGCAGCTCGAGCGTTTGCAGCCAATGGGCGCTAGTAACCAGTGGTGTGCGCGCGTGTATGACGTTTTTACTAACGAACCGGATTGGACGTATACATAGCGTACTTGCAGCACAGATACAACGCACGCTGAACGAACTCATAGCGAATGCCGACGTATTGCGTCAGGCATGCGGTCGGCATAAATCGGGTGCGTCCGGAATACGCTCAGAATGCGCACTGTATACTGACCATTGATCTCCATATGGAGATCAATGATACTGACCTATTCGCAGCCCGAAAAATTATGTTGTGCACTGCATACGCAACTCATACGCATCTCATACGCAATGGATGCGCTGAATTCGTTACTTGTACGCTAGATGTACGTCGCACATAAGTCAAAGTATTAAAAAAAGTTTGACGTTTTGAGCGTACGGCTGCGTATTGAAAATTTTTGGTAAGGAACTCATAAGGAATTAGGATACGCGAAAGTGTGACAGGGGCCATAGGTAAGTGAACAAAATGCACTAGCCTAATGCTAAAATAATTCTCCGGCCGGCTTAACTCTATACAGACATATAGAATATATACAGACATATAAACGCCTTCCGTACCGTCTCTCCTGGCGGCTCTTGGTACGTCTCCGGGCGGCTTTTGGTACGTCTCTGGGCGGCTCTCCGGGCGGCTATGTATACGTTCCGGTGGTTCCGGGCGGCTGTCAACACGTCTCTGGCCGGTTCCGGTCTTTTCGATCAGTATCCGGGCGTCTCCGGCAGGCTCTGGTTACGTGGGTCTTTCCGAGCAGCTTTCCCGGCGGCAATCTGTTCGTCTCCGGTCGGCTCTCAGTCAAAGTGTCTCGGTCTACACCACTGACACAAGACTGAACAAAATCTCTGAAAACTGTATGTCAGCTCGGTTTACACCACTGCCGAATACAAATCCTAACAGGCTTGAAAAACCAATCTGCTAAACAAATCGTCAACAGCAAAAAATACAACAGAAAAAGCCCGACGCTAGCCACCAATGTAACGTAGGACTCGAGCGGTAAAGGTTTCTGGGGAACGTCAATTTCTGTTTATTTATTCCACACAATAAATGGACGATAAAATGTTCTTCTTGATTTTGATGATTGGTTTATTCTGACTCTTGTACTCTAACAAAACACTTGGTTTTGTACAAACCTGACAATTCTAAAGATTCTTATTCTAAAAGCACTGTCTATCGCATACAGATCCTTCCAGTAAGACCGCCAGACGTGAACTGCCTTAAACCGCGCCAAGTAAGCCCGCTTGGCACATGTACATGAGCTGATCATGCAGTAATCACGCGTTGGGCATCAGGCAACCCCAAAACAGCTTCCAAAACTAGGTCACTGCATAGCGCCGCCAGCGGCCACTCCGCCACAATATATTTTTACATTTTGCTTTGATCGAAAAAAAGTACACTTTGACAATCTCAATTTGAAATTAAAGTGGAAAAAAAAACATGTTATTTCTGCTATTTGAATCACCATTCAATAGGTTAGAAGAATATGCCTTTTGATTTGTAATAAACTGTTTTTCATCTTGGACTAATAACTTAATGCTGGTTTATGAAAATTCAGATGATT